CAATATGAATCTAATCTGAATTTCTCTAGATTATATGCATTTTAGATCATCATACCAAACGTGTGGATCTAATCCGAATTTCTCTAGATTATATGCATTTTAGATCATCACACCAAACATATGAATCTAATCCGAATTTCTCTAGATTATGTATATTTTAGATTGTCACACAAAACATGCAGATGTAATCCGAATTTCTCTAGATTATATGCATTTTAGATCATCATACCAAACCTGTGGATCTAATCCGAATTTCTCTAGATTATATGCATCATATATTGTCACAAAAACCACATAAATCTAATCATGATTTTTTAAAAATTATATATGTATTTTAGGTTTTCACATAAAACACACAACCTAATCCGAATTTCCCTGAATTAGATATTTTATGTTATCACATAAAACATGTAAATCAAATCCATAATCCTGTAAATTTTATATGCAATTATGTATTAGTGTATAACGTAAAAGTAATCCGTTTTTATCTATATTATTTACTATATTATATATTATATGAAGATTATTGGACAGCAAATCACACATTCTCAAAACAATACTGATAAGGAATAAAAAGGGGAAGAACACATATATCAATTCCAATATTTGGGGCCTGTCATAGCTTTTGCCAAACATTCTCACCCCTTCAGTCGTGAGGGGCTTATAATTTGACTATCAGTCCCATTATTCGTTGATAAAAAGAGTATCCCAAAAGTTGGCGATAGGTGCTGTCAGTCGGATGCCTTTTCAAAATTAGGTACGTCGGTAAACAACCTTAGTAAGTTTACCATAAAAAAAAATCTAAAATGACATTTTCCAGATATATCTCATGCTCGTGGGATGCGAGTATTCTCGACTATCTTGTCTGAGGTCACCCTATAGCAGTGTATATACGTATTGTTGTGTTACATTTTCGTTTTCAAACGTATTCATTCAGAATGTATAAATGTTAGATATAATTTCTGATGGTGGATACTGAGTAGATTATCAGACGTTTATTGTTGTCATTCTAGTCAGCCACTGATAATCGCCGTATCGCTTGGCTCGTTACTGGTTGTGGCGCTTGTGACCCTGATCACGTGTCTTTTGTATCGTTGGAATCACATACGTAAACGGAGACATCCCATTGTTAACAGAGGTAAGGCAAATTAAAGATAACGTTCGATGTATTTACTGTTAATGGTAAATAAAATAAGATGTATCTTTTTTCTCCCTTATTTTGATTAGAATATGTTTCTTAGAAATTATATTGTATGCTAAAACAATGAAAATCATGTTACTTGTTGAGTTAATTTTTTCGGCCTGGCATGGCCTATTGGTTAGGGGCGCTCGACTCGCAATGTGCGAGTTGCGCGTTCGAATCCCCGTCCCACCAAACATGCTCGACTTTTCAGCCGTGGGGGCGTTATAATGTGACGGTCAATCCCACGATTCGTTGGTAAAAGAGTAGCTCAAGAGTTGGCGGTAGGTGGTCTTGATTAGCTGCTTTCCCTCTAGTCTATCACTGCTAAATTAAGGACGGCTAGCGCAGATAGCCCTCATGTAGCTTTGCGTGAAATTCAAAAAAAAGAAAAAAAAACCAATCCAAGCTTCAGCTTCTTATACCTTCACTCTCAACTTATTGAAATTTCGCAACCTATACAACCCGCTGCTTGCTATAATATGAGAAATCAAACAAAGGAAATCAATCGCTCAGACTACACTTGGAGATGTGCAAAGAGTCGACGACAACATCAGGATAGCGCATGCTTTTGTGTATGGCTTGATATATACTGAATGGAAGTTTGTGACAAACACTTATATTTACGTTATTTCTACGGCAATAAATTCTAATATAGCATCATGGAATCTAATATCAGTAAATGATGATAAAAGATAGCCTTTCAAATGTCTTGGGGAAAAATACTTTTGTCATCAGAAATCATAACAAACAGAATATGAAAATGTAACAGTTGTAACAATGTAACAGTTGTACCTCGTCCAAACAATACCATCGATTGTTAACACAATAACTTTGAATCTTTAAAAAAAATGGATAAAATCAAATCAAAATGCAAAACAGGGTACGTTACATTTCGAACATACAAATCAAAAAGTCATATGACAACCATTATTTTAGATTATCACATAAAATAAATATGTCTGCGGACTTACAACGCTAGAATTCGGGTTTCGATACCCGTGGTGGGCAGAGCACAGATAGCCCATTGTGTAGCTTTGTGTTTAATTACAAAACAAACAAACAAACATCAAATAAAAATAATCCGTTTTTCTGTAAATTATGTATTTTTTGGGTTATTGTTTGGAGGTTTTATAGACAGCCAGCCACGCATTCTAAAAACAGTATTGATATGGAAATATATATATAAATCTAATCCGTATTTCTCTGAATTATATAGATTACCACATAAAACATATAAATCTAATCCAAATCTGTATAAACTGTGTACGCTTTTATAAAACCAACATGAATTTTCTCTAATTTATATGTATTTTAGATTACCACATAAAACATATAAATTTAATCCAAATCTGTATAAATTGTGTACGCTTTTATAAAACCAACACGAATTTTCTTTAATTTATATGTATTTTAGATTACCACATAAAACATGTAAATCTAATCCAAATCTGTATAAATTGTATACACTTTTATAAAACGAACACGAATTTTCTCTAATTTATATGTATTTTAGATTACCACATGAAACATTTAAATCTAATCCAAATCTGTATAAATCGTATACGCTTTTATAAAACGAACACGAATTTTCTCTAATTTATATGTATTTTAGATTACCACATGAAACATTTAAATCTAATCCAAATCTGTATAAATCGTATACGCTTTTATAAAACGAACACGAATTTTCTCTAATTTATATGTATTTTAGATTACCACATGAAACATTTAAATCTAATCCAAATCTGTATAAATCATGCACGTTTTAGGTTGTCACATAAAAATTTTAAACTAATTCTAATTTCTCTAAATTATGTTCATAAAATATGTAAAGTTAATCCATTTTTCGCTAAATTTTGACATTGTTTGGAAGTAAGTAGATGGTGTAATCTCACCAGAAATTGATTCGTTTTTTCTTTCTTTTTTTGGAAAGGTATGTAACAGCCCTTTCCGACACAAAATATCCATACACTCAAATCATAAAGATATGTTCAGATTGGGGATTTAGAATTTCTACGACAGGGATATCTCTTGTACTTAATGGTATTGGAAAACGTAAGAAATGTATCAAATTGTGTCATCCATAAGAAGATCTGTAACAATTCATATCCCAACCATGAAATGAAAATGAGGCATCGTGTAGCAGGTGAGAATACACGAACACAAAGGTCAGTAACAAAAACCGTCCATGTGATTTTTCCAGGGAGGGGCAAGATTTTCCAGAAGAGGGGGGGGGGGGGAGCAAAGTAGTAGTGAAATAGTGATAGAATAAAAAATACCATATACACATGCTGAATAAATAAATAAATAATTATGTTTCTCCCCCCCCCCCCCGCGAACGCCCATGTTAATAGGCTTGTTGTTCCTGCCAATTTTGCCAATGAATTGAATTGCCGATTTTTTGCAAATCTCGCTAACAATAATAGGGGTGTTTGAATTTTGCGCAAAGCTACACGAGGGCTATCTGCGCTAGCCGTCCCTAATTTAGCAGTGTAAGACTAGAGGAAATGCAGCTAGTCATCACCGTCAACTCTTGGGCTACTCTTTTACCAACGAATAGTGGGATTGATCGTCACATTATGACGCCCCCACGGGTGAAAGGGTGAGCATGTTTGGTGTGACGAGAATTCGAACCCGCGATCCGCGGATTGCGAGTCGAGCGCCCTAACCACCTGGCCATGCCGAGCCAACAATAATAGGACTGCACAGTATATCTCTAGTTTTGTATTTCAGCTGCAAGATTATTAGATTACCAATACTTTGCGTATAACTAATCATTTTGCACGCAAGTTGGGCAGTAGAATGCTTAACAGACCCTCATATAACAAGCTGAATGCTTTCTATAATGTCTGCGGTTGATCGGTCATAGCATTCGAAATCTCGAAACCATCTCGCAAGGAAATCAATAAGCGCAAAACAGAGTCTCGTGTCTGTATAATTTATTTTTTAATTTTTTAAGTATGATTATTTAATGTATGTTTATGTACTGTGTAAAGTGTATATATTTTCAACAATTAAAACCACATCATGATAAACGTCGTTTAGACATTTATAAAAGAAATTAGTTTCTCTGGCACGCGTACATTTGATCAGTACTGTGATAAGTGACATGAGGAGCTGATATCCAGTTTAGCTGGTCCGTACAGGTCTGGTTCATAATGACACTGTCACGGCGTATTGTACGCACCTGGCGACGGCCAATTTGGCCTAACATTGGCAAAGTTTGGTAGCGACATTCAGGAAAATTTGCTAAATGCAATAAGTCAGATTACTGATATAAGAATGATATGTAAATTATTCCTACATGATAATGTTAACATTTTTTTTTGTCCAATATCCGAATCAACCACTTGAAAATACTCTATTCGGCCCGATGTATTCTACCGAAAAAACAGTTGACGGTAAAAACATTAATTAAACGATACAATGGCTTTCTTTTTCAAATCAGCAATAAAAGCTTTACTGCACTGTTTGACTATGCTTTTCTGTGAAGTGAATGTGATGATTATGAAAGGTGGTAACATCTTGTCCTATATACATGACATGCTGCCTAATAAACGAAAACTTGAAGTTGAGGAGAATCGTAAAATAGTTGCTAGAATTATTGTTGTCATCAAGGTTAATGGAAAGCTCAAGAATCGTAAAATTGTTGATAGAATTATTGTTGTCATCAGGGTTAATGGAAAGCTCAAGAATCGTAAAATTGTTGATAGAATTATTGTTGTCATCAGGGTTAATGGAAAGCTCAAGAATTGTAAAATTGTTGATAGAATTATTGTTGTTATTGGGGTTAATGGAAAGCTCAATCTTCCGTTTGGAGGGCACAGAGGTGAAGCTGCACAGAGCTGGAAAAAGATGAAATAAATTACGATGTTGTTTTGGAACTGTTAAACTGACGTGCTACTCTCCGAGCAAAGTAATTGTTGACTCCAAGAAACAGAAACCGTCTGGAGGTACTGGAAGAGGTGTTTCAGCTACTTTAATCAGTTAAACAACAGTCAACAAAGTGCTTGTTATAACGAAGAATATGACCCAGGACGTTATAGCAGATGAAGTGCGAAATGCTGGTATGTTCCCAGTTCAGATTGATTCCACATAAGACATCAATACAACTGACCAATGTGTTGTGGTAGTCCGGTATGTGCTTGGTGGGAAGTAATGGAAAGGCTGCTAGCTCTCGTTCCCTCCCACGGCCACAGTGGTACTTGACAAGGACTGTTCGATCTAGTAAAAAGCGTATTTGGAGATTACAACACTATCAACAAGTGTGTTTCAAACAGCACAGATGAAGCAGTAGCTTGTCATGGGAAGTAGAGTGGCTTTCAGGCAAAGCTCTCTACTGCTATGAATACAAACATCTACGTGTGGTGCTATGCACATGTACTCACTTTAGTTCGGATAAACTCGACAAAGGTATGTATTGCAGCAGTATCATTCAATCTGTTACAAAAAACCGAAGATTTCTTTCAAATCTCCTACAAGCAAACGGATATTTGGAAAAAAAGGAAACTGAGAGCAAGATAGAGGTAGACGAATTGAAAAAGAATTAACCTTGTAGATGGAAAACGATGGTCATGGAAATCAAATGCATTATTATCTGTGTTCGGAACATGTACAGATTACTCCAAAGCTGTTTTCCTAGATCTGATCAATTATCTGGTTATATTTTAGCATTCAAAGTCACATGATGCTGCCATGGAAACAGAGGCTAGAGGGATGCTGTATCAAAATAACTTCAAAAAAGTGAACTTGATTTAGTTCAGGTTTGGATGCAAATATAAGAGTGTACAGTTCAACTGAGAACACTGAGGGACGACATGAACTGTGAACACTAAGGGACGACATGAACTATGAACACTAAGGGACGACATGAATTGTGAACACTAAGGGACGACATGAATTGTGAACACTGAGGGACGACATGAACTGTGAACACTGAGAGACGACATGAACTATGAACACTAAGGGACGATATGAATTGTGAACACAGAGAGACAATATGAACTGTGAACACTGAGAGACGACATGAACTATGAACACTAAGGGACGACATGAATTGTGAACACAGAGGAACAATATGAACTGTGAACACTGAGAGACGACATGAACTATGAACACTAAGGGACGACATGAATTGTGAACACAGAGGAACAATATGACCTGTGAACACTGAGGGTCGACATGAAAAGCAGACGAATCTGTCAGACAAATGAACGAAGTTGTGTGCAGTATTGATTGGCCAGATCTGTTAAATGTTGAGGAATGTGATGAAGTCGAGGTGTCAGCTGAATTGTCTGTCCAAAGGAAGAGAGAGCAAAAAACTAAGTATGATGAAACAAGATTTGCAGAAGGTGTCACACCTACATCACCTATGACTACATACATGATTTATACTTTCAACATGGTATTTGATCAATAATTAGGAAATCTAACGAGACGATTTGCAGAACATGGTCAGCTGTATGCGTACATGCAGTATTTTGACCCAAGGATTTTTGCTGACATAAAGAAAAAGGACCTATCTGCTGGATCACCGAATAAAATATGTCAGCTCGTGCTACACCTAGATCTAACAAGTGTGTATCTGAAGCTAAGTGAAAATGTAGAAGACCAATACTCTACATTGGAAGAGATGTTAGTTGGGGAAGATGACACCGCTGATTCACCTGAGACTGACCACAGAGTATAACACGAGGACATTACTTCGTGCAAAACTTTCAATTGGTACAAATGGCGTTTAACGTGTGCTTTTCAGTTGCTTAAAAACTACATGCTACATTCAGAAGCATAAGACAACTTACATAAAGTGTTTGACTTTCTTTTGACACTTTCCATCACTCAAGTTCACTGTGAGAGATGTTTCTCTGAGCTAAAGATAATAAAAACAGGACCGAGGAACCTGTAGACAGCTGAGCATTTCAAAGCTCTCCTGCTCATAAACACTGAAAAACCAGTATTATAGGTGAGATACCAAACAAACAGTGAAATCGTAGACATGCTCTAAAAATCATTTGATGAACTCAAACGGCTACTGGTGTATTGAATTCAAATTTTCGGATACTGTTAATGCACATGAACATTGGACATTTACATATATTATTTCACGTACGTATTATGCACATATAGAACGGGAAAATACTAATATACATGTAGTTTCATTTTTATCCACACCAGACCTTTTTGAGGAACTGTAGTTTTATACATGAGTTTTGTATAGCACTGAATATAGCAGTGAACATGCTAATATCATAAGTGTTTACTATTTTAAAATAAGTGCAATATTATTCTGGCAAGAGTTTTATTTCTTCTTTCCAAGTTATGTATTCTTTACTCGTAGTCTGATAATATGTAAATACAATACGCGGTGTAATTGGATATACTTCTCACAAATTACTAGGTCACCAATGGAGCGACCCTAACAAGACTTTTTTCAATGTCCCAAAAGGGGCCCTTGGTTGTGAGGCTGCAAAGTCGTTTTAAATATAACATGCTCAACCTCTTTATTGCACTATAGTTTTATGTTAATTCGACATCGTGGACAGAATTCCAGTGTGCTTCCCATGAGTGGATGTTCTACTGGGCTTCCCATGAGTGGATGTTCTAGTGTGCTTCCCATGAGTGAATGTTCTAGTGTGCTTCCCACGAGTGGATGTTTCAGAGTGCTTCCCATGAGTGGATGTTTCAGAGTGCTTCCCACGAGTGGATGTTCTACTGTGCTTCCCATGAGTGGATGTTCTACTGTGCTTCCCAGGAGTGAATGTTCTAGTGTGCTTCCCACGAGTGGATGTTCCAGTGTGCTTCCCATGAGTGGATGTTCTACTGGGCTTCCCATGAGTGAATGTTCTAGTGTGCTTCCCACTAGTGGATGTTTCAGTGTGCTTCCCACGAGTGGATGTTTCAGAGTGCTTCCCATGAGTGGATGTTCTACTGGACTTCCCATGAGTGGATGTTCAAGTGTACTTCCCACGAGTGGATGTTTCAGAGTGCTTCCCATGAGTGGATGTTCTACTGTGCTTCCCATGAGTGGATGTTCTACTGTGCTTCCAAGGAGTGAATGTTCTAGTGTGCTTCCCACGAATGGATGTTCCAGTGTGCTTCCCACGGGTGGATGTGCAGAGAATTAGGTGAAGACTGAGTTACGTGATACGAAATTCATCATAACGTACTTGCTCTTGTGTGATAGCAACGATGTGATTTGAATTATTCAGTTTGAATCTCTACGCAATTAATATTGTCCTACCACACCACTGAAATATTTGGCGTAACGTACTTTTTAATTTAATGTTTCATTATTTGCGAGTTTACATTGTTAATACGTTATTGGGAAATAATTGGTACTTGCCTTTCATCAGAACATAAACAAAGAACTTTGATCTATCTATCTATTTATATATAACTATATCGTTTATAGGTTCTTTGTATCGTCTCCATTGTAGCAGCGCCACCAGCGATGTGACCAATATGTACTCCTTTTCTGGACAACCTAGTGTTACAACGACACCTGGTGATGCCGTTGTCAATTACCAACAAGATGACACTGTTCTTCGAATTCCGTCTTATAATGATTCGTTATGTCAGCACGTGATATCTAATATTCCAAGTAAGGTATTTTCTTATCAACTGTAATGGCTATTATAAACTTGTGCTTGGTAGTGAAAGAAATATTTCAGGTTTACAGCTTTGAAAACATATAAAAGTCAGGGCACTTTTAGCATTGTTTTTGGTTCATATAAAATATACCCCATTAATCTGTTAGTTTGTTTTCAGATATTCGTGCTCAGCTGCTCTACCTGAGTTAGTCCTCACTAATTTTGAACTGATCGAAGTGAACATTTGTAGCTTGACGCTGTATATAGATTACAAAAAAGGTATATGTATTTATTGTTCACGTTTATTGCAGCCGATGGACGAAAAACAAAGAAAAAAAAAAGGAACGAATACGTGTCTTCGTATCACTAACAGTTACATTATACCTCTGTTTAAGTGAAGTCCAGGACAGGATAATTTAGTCTTTAAATGTTAAACACATGCTTACTTTGCCATAAGCCCCCCCCCCCGTGGTGGGCAGAGCACAGATAGCCCATTGTGTAGCTTTGTGCTTAATTACAAAACAAACAAACTTTGCCATAAATATTTTTCTGCTTATTTGTACTCCAATTATTAAAATAACGAGGCTCGGGCGTGAATGGTGGAATTTGAGAGCCTCGAGTCTGCGATACGACACTATTAAATAAATTTCGCACTTTTAGCTGCCAGGTGTATTTTAAGAGCGGCAATCAATCGCACTATTAAATTAAGAATAATCGCTTCGACGACGGGTGTTACCCACTGGATCCGCGTCTTTGTTTGAGCCAGGGAGGTTTCTGATTTGTCGTTTAGCCCCTTAACGTAAACCATAAAGTATGGTTGTCAGACAGCACCACCTACTGGCACGTGTTAACTGCTACATATAAATCATATTGCCGAGATTTACATGGGTACTCAGAGCAGAAACTGGTAAGGATGCAAATTACTTTATCTTACTGATAGTTTACCTTACTCAAGCTGTGATACTTTGTTCCATTGACCGTGGCTCTTTCATTAGCTTTTGAACTGCTACAAATGATAATGTATTATTTTATTACTAAAACAGTATAGTAATAAATCACGTCATATTTCCATACCCGCCTATATAAGTATACTTCTGTTATTTCTTTTATCATCCTATTATTTCAAGAAAATGATGGAAGAAAGAATTTATATGTAAATTGGACATTGCTAAACTGTATTAGTTTACTACAAATATAACAATATGATTATTCTAACCACAGTTAGCTGGCCCGAGCGGGTCAGCGGTAAGTTCCCGGAGCTAAAATTGTATTTAGTGTGGTGTTCTTTTTTTAAGGAAATTACACGCGGGTTAAATGTTGTTTATGTAAAATACTTTGCAATTAAAAAAACTAAAGTTGAAATCAAAGCCAGTCGTTACGTGATGACAACGATGTTGTGCCATTGTGTAGCATACTCGTTGCATTAAAAAGTTTGACAAAGCAAAAAACAGGTAAGGTGATTATGAATGTTTTTGGTTTTTTTTAATTAAGCACAAAGCTACACAATGGGCTATCTGTGCTCTGCCCACCACGAGTATCGAAACCCGGATTCTAGCATTGTAAGTCCGCAGACATACCGCTGTGCCACTGGGGGCGATTATGAATGGAAAAATCAGAATGAAATCCGGACTCCTCGGACAAAGGCCTTTTTAATTATATGAGATTTGTAGCGTTTGATGAAGAAATTTGCGAGAAAAGTTCCGAACAGACAAACGCAAGCGTATTATATTTTCTATTTGTTTTTAAAACCAGATTCCCAATGTAAATAAAATTATTTTAACACTATTATTTCTATTACGCTTGAAGATTTTGGCACCGGTTCTCCTCTCTCCAATAATTTCTTCAAGGTTCTTTTAGTAATAATGTCCAATTCAATTTAGGTAGCGTTTGTTTTTTTCATATACTTTCACGCTCGTTCTTCTTCCACACTCCTGCCCTTTCCTCCAACCCTCTAACTGATTAGTGTGTCCTTTTTGCACCTGTTATTTTACCTCCAGTCTACATGCAGTTCACTGACTACAGCATTCAGAGATCTTAACACGCTGCGCCTTACCAGCTAGGTAATCCACTGTCTTGTTGAATAATCTACCTTCAAGTCTATTATTTTTAAAGCTGTTCCATTTCTAAGATGTAAAAAAGTTTTTTGTGAAATTTTGAGACTCCTGAGAAAAATAGCCTTCTTACTCACATTGACAATATAAATATATAAACAAGTTAATGTCTCTTGCCTGAAAAACAATGCGTTATCATTTTAATCGATAACAAATTGCAAAAGAAAAATTACTTTCTACGCATCTTCAATTTAACCTTTTCGACTTTAAGAAAGTCAAATCAAAATGATAAGTAGTCGAATGTAAGTCTCTATTACAAGGACAGTTCACCCGGAGTTGATAACGACTATCAGTACGGTATTTCTTTTTTTTCTAATACATTCTCGTAAAATTTGTAAGTATCAATAAAATAAGAATAAAAATAATAAACTTTTATTAGTGACTGGCTGAAGTACGTTGAAACCACAGATGCTGATGACGTAACATTCTAATTTTTGTCCAAACTAAGTGGCGTAATAATGAAGTTGTTTTTTTCTCCTTAATATGTAGATGCACTACTTCAGCCTTCTCCTCACTGTCCCTTAGTGGCTGGGGATCCCCCACCTCCGTATCAATTAGACAATTCCTACCCGCTGTTGTTTGTACCCAACCAGGATTTTGTAACCATTCCAGTTTCAAGTTCATCCAACATCAGGTAAACCACTCGCATGCCTCATTGTTCACTAAAATAATTGTTTGACTTACACATATAAAAGTTCTTTGTTCATTAAAATAAATGTTTGACTTACATGTATAGCAGTTCTTTGTTCACTAAATTAATTGTTTGACTTACATGTATAGCAGTTCTTTGTTCATTAAAATAAATGTTTGACTTACATATATAGCAGTTCTTTGTTCATTAAAATAAATGTTTGATTTACATATATAGCAGTTCTTTGTTCATTAAAATAAATGTTTGATTTACATATATAGCAGTTCTTTGTTCATTAAAATAAATGTTTGACTTACATATATAGCAGTTCTTTGTTCATTAAAATAAATGTTTGACTTACATATATAGC